ACTTTTTAGGTCTGGGCCTTAGGTCTCGGTTTCTGTTCGTTGTAGGTGATCAGCCTCCTGTGCCGAACAAACGCCGTCGACTATTTGGGTATTCGGCAAGCCGGGTTCCTCACGATGTTTTCCTTCAAGGTTAGAGCGAATGTTAAGTGCGCATATAGAAAGACAATCCATTGGTCTGTCGGGGATCGAACCTATGACATCAGGGAGTCGCACGCTGAAGCCATTAGGCTGCTCAACACTGCTCTACAATAATATAATTATATCCATAATTTGTATTAAATAATAATAAGTAGGTCTTCGAATACTAATTCAGTATGAGTGTAAAATTTCAATGCATAATATATTCATTATTATCAATTTAGTAGTTTTGTCACAAAAGTGTTTTACCTACTTTCGCATGAATATTATCACAATGCCAATTTAATTTTACGCGTGATGTACGCAAAATTGTTATAATTAATTTCATGGCATCTTCCGGCTGTGAATAATTAGTTTTGTTTTAAACACACTTGTGGAATAACTTTCAACCGAAAATGCTACTCAAGTAAAATGGTATAATATTACTGGCTCACAAGCTACACTATCTTTAGCATGTTTTAAGGTGTAAATTGTGATTGATATGGTGGAGATGATGTTCAAAATTAAAATGTATGCTAAAAATGGTTATTTCCAGTTTAACAAACGGAACAGCTGCATACTTTAATCCTAATCAAGTATTCTACGAATAGATTAAAGAATCTCCTAAGAAAGCGAGAAAAAAGGGTAATCGGCCGATAGATGTAAAATAATTATACCAAAGTGCTCTTAACCCTTTCCCTAATCACGAACGGTCTCAGACAGTCGTTAAAAATTCCACCCTAATCCCAGGACATCGGAATCACACTAAAAACTCAAATACTTTTATCCCCTTAATCCTAGTCGATTCGCGGATTAACGCTACACAGAAAGCAGGAAGAATGCAAGACGCAATCTAGCAAATGGCATTAAAATGTTTGGACTCAACCCTCTCGCGGCGGCGACCGATTTTTCAAACTGGAAAAAATCCCTTCACCGGAGGAAATGTAGCGGACTGCCACGTCTTAGCCAATCTCAATAAGAGCTGAAACGGTTTTGATTCTTTGTTTCAATGTTGGGACTTTTGAAGGAGTTTTTTTAGATTAGAATCTGATATTTTTGATAAATCTATTACGTTTACGATAACGTTTAGATCTAAATCTATCAACCATTTTAAAACGTATCAGTAAAACTTGCAAAGTGTAAATATTGAAGAAATTAGTATTCTCCTTAAAGTGAACGATTGTTTTTATATAAAAAAATGTATCTTTTTACTTATATCACACAGTTGACGATTACAATGATGTACTAAATATGACTTGTATAAAATAGATTAAGAAAATGGATACCACGATCATTATTGTTCCATCGCTGTATACATCGATTACACACAGTGCACACAAACAACACAAAGAATTCGAACATTTTTAACGAATGCAAATCGTCTACCCCTTCTTCTGCTCTCTGAACATGGAATACGAAATGAAACATTCTATCATTTATTACGATACACATAAAGAAGATTGTTAGAATGTTTTTTTATTAAGGGCGTTTTTAGGTTTATTTGAATTCTAAGTAATAAAACAAAGATAGTACATTAGTATGCTCCAGTTGACCTTTGCTCTTTATGATTTGGAATTATTAGATTTTGTATTCAGTAGGTGATTTAGAAACGTTGAAGTTTTAGTATCTAAATCATCACCTTTCTGTGTTAAGGCAAGTTTACTATGACGATTAATATTCAGTCATGAAGAAAAAGTGTTAAATGAATTATAGATTTTAAGATAGAGCAATGAACGGTTAAGAAGTGATTAAGGAGGGTAATCCAAAAGGTGTACTTGTCTAATTGCATCGCGCTCATGAAGCACTATAAACGCTAAGCGGTCGGATTCAAAGTAATGTGTTTTACATTTTCGTAGGCGACGGTATCAGAGACATAAAACGGCATGTAATTTATTCTATTGCTGAAAGGGTTAGGCCCGGGGTGGGAATTACCCAAGGTGGGTGCTAAAGGGTTAAGCCGAGTGCCGCCGGCAAACTTTGTTAATTTATGCGCTTAAAAATGTCAACTGGAAATTATGACACCGAAACACATTTCCTTATTCATAAATGCGTTTATGATATCGTGATATTGCGGGGCTGTGATATGTTTACTTTTATATTAAAAGTTACCCTTTTTATTTCGTTGAAATGGTTTTTGTTGAATAAACTTCGAATAATTTTTTTCCTCTTTAACATAAGTCGAATTACACATTATTATAGCGACATACTTTTGCTTCTTAGTAATGAAGTTTTCAGAATTATAACTATGTCAAACAAACTTTAATTTTATATGAAATATTAATTTTTCTTCATTAAAAATTCAATATACAATACATACATAAGACCGTACAAAAAGAATGTTTGGATGGATTGCGATTTTTTAATTCAAATACAATTCTATATTTAAAATTCAAACGCAATCGATTTACGCAATGGGTACAGTAACAATTGAGGAGTGCCACGAGTAAGATAAGGCGAGAATTGAAACAAGCTTTGCGGGGGAGTCGAAAAGCGTCTTTCTCATTATTTAAATATTCTGATGAGTGCGTTAAGCGCCCGTTAGCGTAAGTGGAGCGTTTCAGATAACTCTCAGTCTTATTGTTTTGTTGATGGAGTTATTGTGACACTCAGTCACGATAAAGCGCAATGTTTATTTTACGGGAATAGCGCAGATATATTTGTCTGTTATACCGTTTCGCACAAATATTTTTTTTTTGAAGTTTATCAAAAGAAAATGGGAAATTTACTCTTTTATTTCACTTTTCGATCTATTAGAAGTTCCCGGCACGTAACTTGGCAAAGTGTTTAGATGCGCAGGTCGCATAGCAAAGTCGTTGTTAGATAATTTTGCTGTGTGTGTATTTTCTTGTGAACTTTCCGTTTTGCGTGGCACACCTTAAGAAGATATTATCCAATATTAACAACAATATCAATATTATAAAACTTTGATCTAGTCAATCACTAACGTTAATTTTCCTTGCTGCAGGTATTGCGCATCAACTGGCAGGTCTACCGGGTAACGAGTGGGGGGCATTGGCTCGGCATTATCCTCCTCCAATGCTCCCCACACATCCCCACTTTACGCCCCACGTTCTGCCGCCGGCGCACACGCAAACCCACGTTGCTCCAACACATGAAAATGGTTTGTAATTTATGTATATTTGTGGTTATTATATTATTGTGGTTGTTATATTTTGGAACAATTTCGTAAAATTACTATAGAAATTCGGACACCATATTTGTAGATAACATATTATTATTATAACACTTAAAAAAACCTTTGTATCTGATTACAACCCCACTCGTAGTTGATTATATTTGAGTATTTCGGAATATAAATAAACCACCTAGTGATACGACACGAGTCCACTAGTTGTACCGTGTTCGCGCACACAAGTGCACAGTTGTGCGCGAACTAAAATATTCTGGCTATCTACGCGCACAATTTGTTATTGTTCGCTTGAGTGAGTCGACAAAAACAAACATGTGTGCCGTACGCTGTACAACACTGTGCCGTACAGTTCAGCAAATTGGTGGAATCGTACCTTTACAGTTGGTAAAATTTTTTTGCCATTAAAGAAAACAAAAACATCGTTACTAACTTTTTAATTTATTCAATGTCAAATTGTATACCCATAGATTGATTATAGTGTGCTAAATACGGCATGACATACCTATTAATAAACTTTTTATCTGAAATATACGAAGGGTATTGATACTTAAGTAATTTTGCAAGAAATTATAGACAGTAACAGTTCATGATAACGCAGATATACTATACGTAGTTATAACGCAAATATAAATCTTGCAAACTTTATTATTCCAACATTTTGTTTTCAGATCTGTCGACAGAAAACCCAACAACGATGCACGCGCATAGCACAACGAGTCCATCAAACTCCCGGCCGAGTTCCCCACAAGATGACGATGACATCTCTGTGACAGCCTCTACTAGCCCCCCTCCAGACGAACGTCCCGGAGCCTTCACCTCCGTCACTAGACGGAAGCCTCTACAACCCTTACCGCCACCGTCCAGCTTATTCCACAGTGCACTAGCAGCTCAACTATTCCTCAACTCTCCCTTACTCCCAACTCCACCTGCCTGGTTATACTCACAACTTTATGGGGGATATGACTGGTGGCTTCGACCGCCACAGACTCACGAAGATTCAAATTCAAGTCCTGATAGGGAAGACACAGCTTCCACGAGTTCAAAGAAACGACCGGCCTCACCAGAATGGTCTGATCAAGGAGTCAGAACAAGAAGCAAGGCTCTCATGTCTTCAGAAAGACGGCCAGTGGACGTTTGGCGGCCGTATTAGATGTTCAAAGAGTTATTTAGATGCAATTATTTCATACATCGATTTATAAAGTCACTGATTGAATAGACATTAAACGAAAATGGTGATATTTTAAATGGATCTCATAGTTTAGGGAGAACAATTTGGTTGAATGTGTCGGCCGTTCAAGTATAGTGATTATTGTATGTGTTAGATAAATGTGAATTTCAAATTACGATGTTTATTATTTGTTGATTGTACATGCAAGGAATGTAAATAAAGTTATCGAAATTTTTAACATGACTTTCATTCCGGGCCAAATATAATATTGATACTTTTGGCAACTGATGTGAAATACTAAAATATTGGGGCACGGCACATTTGATGGTGCATGGAATACATTTTTGGATTGCATCCATATTATTCGTAACCGCAGCGAAATGCATTGCTTTTGTAATTACACAACAATTTGTGTTCAAAAATTTATTTAAGTAAAAAGGAGAGCACGAGTTTTGTATAGAGTTACAACGTTTGTATACATCGACTACTTATAAAAAGTTCAAGTACAATTTAATAGGTAAATTACAGTTAGATTAATATTTATTTAAATATCACAGCGACGCGTTATTCAGAACAAACGCAAGATTGTACACTTTTACTCCTATTATCGACAAAATCCATGAGTCGCAATACGCCGCTCATCGCTTCTCGGGCTGTGGGTATAATTTCTTCTCTCGGTAATAAGAATCTGTATTGTTTCCCTCTTAGTTCCACCATATATGAGTATGGTATGTTGGCTACTCCATAGCTCCAGTCAATGCTGTTGCCAGCAGCATAGTACATTAGGTCCTTTGTACTTCCTACTTTGTAGGTGTGGCCACTGGTTTCGAAAATAGCCTGAAAGAAGTGAAGTAAATCAATTAGTAGTATGTCCTATTTTCAAATTCGTGTTTTATAACTATATGAAATAGCAATTTTGGTTTGACATCGAATACTTTTCTAGAATGTAGGTGTAAAAAAAATCATTACCAACAAAATTTTATATATTTTGGTTTCTAAACAGCAGTATTTTTAAACCTTGTCAACTTATAATAAAACGTTGATTTTTATTCTATGTAAAGGATCGTAACCGATACTTTTTTAGTCTTAGTTTTAAGTATAAATCAAAAAAAAATCTCTCGTACAACCCAAATTAACGCTACTCTCAATTAAAAATCTACATAATTTTTAATCATCTAATAGCTAATTAAAATCACTTAACTATGTTAATCATTACCTTAGCCATTGCGGTCCCTCCTTCGAGAAGCTCAATATAGTCAGGGCAAGGATCGCCAATGTAGCCCCAGGGGAAAATTATGACTTCTCCATAGCTATGGAATGAGAGGAACACCTTGAAGGTGGTCGGAGATTGCACAATCAGCCGCTAAAAGTACAAACAATTTTAATATAAGACAAAATTTTGTAGTATTGGGACTAGTTTCATAAACACGAATTAGCACCTTTGTGGTTTATTTATACACCCCGAAGAAACAAAAATTACAGAAGTTAACTTGTTTATTACAACATCAAAAAGAAAGTTCAAATTACTGGACTTAAGTATAAAGGTCTTACACGCAACATAATGAATATATATCTATGTATTCAGCAGATCACGCGATCAGCGATAGCTTTTTAATTATCATAAAAATATTAACATAAAGTTGTTACTATGAAAGTACAAAATTCTTTAAAATATTTAGGTAAATTTTAATGTAATTTAAAGTCTTCATTAGATGATCAAATAATAAGGGTACCTTTACAGCACTGGTTTCCGGTTCAGAAAACGCCTTTGACCCTCGAAAGAAGATATTTCCGGGGTCATCTGAAGATCCCTCCTCACCTTTTTCGCCCCAACCATAACTGTAAAAGATACATAGTATTGTTATACACACATACAACTATTATGTTATGTATGTCGGTAAAATTAGACGATACGGGATATATATTATCTACTAAGGCATAGTCTATTAGAATTTTTACTCGATATTTGAACAAATATTAATTTAATTAATAGAAAATATTTTCCGCGCCAGATTTTGTATATAATTCTTATTACAAATTATTTAATATTTCGTAGGCACTTCAGGGAAATAATGATGTAATAACTTAACACAAACATCAATATGCCTATCGAAAATAATGTAACTGGTATTTTAATAGGAATTTAATAATGAAATTTCACTATATAATATCATATTTCTGGACAATACGACACACATAGATTAAAGCAATTTTTTTTTAGTTTCCTAGTTGAAATGAATAAAATCAATGAATCGTGTACCGTGTTTTGTTGTTGTATTATAATAAAATCAATAAATCAGTAGCGCTACAACCTTTTTAGGTCTGGGCCTCAGATTTCTGAAGCTGTCATGATCATTTGTCAATCTAAGCAAGTAGCCTATTAGATTAGTTAGCCTCGTGTGCCTGACACACGCCGTGGATTTTTTGGGTCTAAGGTAAGCCGGTTTCCTCACGATGTTTTCCTTCAACGTTCGAGCGAATGTTAAATGCGCGCATAAAAAGAAAGTCCATTGGTGCACAGCCGGGGATCGAACCTACGTCCTCAAGGAGGAACACTTCTCTGTATATTATATGTACATATAATAATGAAAACGCATACCTACCTAAAGTTTCGATTAAGATCGACACCAACACATTCACCATACCGAGCTCTATTTTTTCTCCACATGCGGTCGTTTGTGTGTGTGTATTCGTAGCCATCTGGATTCATCACTGGAAGAATATACCTGAAAATAAAAAAGCATGGCGTGACTTGTTCTATATCAAACTCATTTTAGGTAAAACTCTCTCAACTTCGTGAAGTGGCTTCGACCAAAATGTAAACTCAATCTCTCCTTTTCAAACTAGAAATCACACACTTCGTTTTTAAAATCACTATCCTCTGTAATAGACAAACATACTTTTATTGCTATTATTTCCGGGGTGCTTGGATATTTGTGTATTAAATTTGTCCACTTTTCCGAACAGCGACTAAAAGAATGACTCACACTCTAATATTTATGAATTACGTAGCATAATTTAAAAAAGTATAATACAACTTCAAATATACATATGAGAATATAATAAATCGTTCATTTAATTCCTTTATAGATAATTGCCGTTAAACAATCAGCATTCCCTACCATCTGGAACCTTAGGACTAAACGCATTAAAGGTACCAAATGCGTAACAATTGTTGCCCAATGTCCTATACAGTTTAAAATTTGTGTATCGCCACCAACGTTTATGATTATTCCTTTATAATGCTTTCACTGAAAGATACAATACACCACGCTTAAGACAATTTATAGTTGTAAATTTACATAGAGTACAGGTAAGTAGACAAAGTGTGTAAATATAAGTGTTAAAAACGCAAATATTAGGGCTCCCACACAAAACTGCGAATTCGCATCGCATCGCAAATATCTGCGAATTCGCACGAACGCACCGCAAGAAGTTCCGATCTGCTTCGCATCGCACATTCTTGCGATATTACGTCATCCTTGGTGACGCCGTTTTAGTCCGCTCTGAGACAGCTTTAGAGAAAGACGCGCGGCGCCTCCACCGCCTTCTTTGTTTATAAAAAATTGCGGAATATGATATGGATTTTTTAATATTTTTAATTGAGGAGCGTCCCGTCTTTTGGGACACAAGTGATGAACATTATTTTTGTTGAACAAATTTATTGAGCAAGATGTGTGGAAGAGCGTCTGTGAAAGTTTGCATCAGAGTTTATAATCGTAATAAATGGATGAACCCAGAATCTTCTTTTTCTTTTATATCTATTTAACAATAACAGCAGTGCAATATTCTTTTTGCGATCCATCTTACGCTTCCTTAAAACACGTCCAGTACGGCTGACTACGAAGGAATGGTCGCCCTACCAAACGGTTTGTCGCACTAAATCGTATCGCAGAAATTCGCATCGCAAGTTTCTGCGATGCGAATTCGCATCGCATCGCATCGCAGTTTTGTGTGGGAGCCCTTATAGTAAGTTCTTGTTAAATGCTTCTATTTAGGGAAATATATGCAGCAGAGGAAGGAGCGTAAGGGTTAAGGTGTAAATGTGGTATTTATTAAACAAGCAGGCTTCTTTAACAGAAAGTGTTAATTTCATCTTACCAGTCTTTATTCCTAACGCTCTCAGACTGAATTTGGAAGTTGCGAACCAGCTGATTAGCGATGTATGTCACGACAGCTGCACTGATCCATTCGCGAGGATGTATGGAACCATCCAGCCATACACCTGGGTTTGAGGAGTCTCCATTCGATATCTTCAGTAACTGTGATATATTAAAAATGGAAATTAATTAGTATGGAAACAGAATGTTTGCTGCTTTACTTATTAAATACAATATTTAAAATATTATTATAATATTATAGTGTGCACTCATGTGGTGTATTTTTTTGTTTTAAAGGCAAATCAGGGAGGTTGAAATGTAGATTCAAATACCGAAACGTCAAGTCGTTCGAATGTGGTTGATCAACAGGGAATACACCAATCGCCAATAGCTACATGGTTCATGGTGGTCAGTCTTCTATTGAGCTGTTAAAACATTACCTTCAAATCCCTTCCTTCAACTGATTTTCCAATGATCATCACGGTACACAAATAAGGGTATTCCTTGGCCAAATTTTCCATAAACTCGTAGATAACATCTAATCGGTGGAATGTATGCCAATCCATATTACGATCTGTTATATTTTCACAATATTATAACTAATAACTATGTTTATGCTTCAAGAGAAACAGTGCAACTACATTAACATCCGCTAAATCGTAATATTTATATGTTAAATGACAAAAATATTACCTAATTATAATCATTAATTAGTTCGATAGATATTTAAATTATTGTATTTCCTTTCGTCATTAGTTTATTTTGTGCATTTAAAGTAATTAAAGCTTGCAAAGTAATTATCTTGTTCATTAATAAATTGGTAAAATTAGATTCTACGTTATAACATATTGTAAAGTTTTTTACTATAATATAAACATTCTGCATCCCTTTTTAATACGCACGTCGGGCATATTTTAAATTTGTAACATTATATATTCGAAGAAGATGATTCGAAGAACCACAATGGTTTTGATTACTTGATAAGTAATTTTTACTAGTGAAAATCTAAATAATTAGCCTGGCCCTTAGTAACTCAAGCAATTAGGCCCGTATCATTAAAAAAGGTTCTTTACTATACAGGCTTAATAATTAAAGTAATTTATAAACGATTTATTAAACAAAATTAAACTAGTCATGGAAGTAATAAAAATACAAAGGCTCACTTAGTAATCTTAATGATTCTGAAATAATAAATAACACAATGTAATGGACTAGACTGTTTAACTGATAAGAAAAATTTCAATTTAATAATATTTTTTCTTATTTGTATTTTGAGATAGAGAATGAATTGGTACAATGTGAAAAAAAAAAAACCATATAAATTGTCCGAAATAAACAAATACTTTCACACATTTAAACACTGTCCGCAAGAATAATATAGTAAAATTTAAAGCAAATCCATTTTGAAAGGAATGAAACGGGTTCATTGAAATTAAATTGAATTTTAATCTAAAAAACTTTTCCGACACGATAGTCGCGCCGCGTCTTTATTTATCTGATTATCAATAAATAGTTTTACCTTATTAAAATAATAATAATGACAATATTGTAAATGTTTCAGGCACTACTATGTTTTATCATTAGCACTATGTTCGATTTGAATTTAAGAGATACCGATTTCCTTTTGAAAAATTTTGCATCTAATGTGTGTCCTCGATGATAGGTACGGACGGCGTGCAATGGCGTTTATCATACTAAATATATATCATAAAACGTATTAAATGCGCCCACAGTAAAAAAATCATTAGTTCGAGCTGATTAACTGATAAGATAACCATACAAAATATTCAATAACTATTATTAGGCTTATGGATTTTTATAACTTTTTTTCTTCCATTTGGGAGAATGGTTAGTATGGTTTTCAAGTCCACAGGCGCTAATAAAAGATACCTTTAACGCAGAGCTAGAGCGAGTACCTACCTGTAATGCTGCCAGCATTAAAGATCACTCCCACAGAGACCAAACTTTACAAAGTTATTTTAGTTTTCTATCCATTTCTAATTAATATTATGACTGTGTAGGTTAAGAATATTGTGTATAGTTTTTGTAAGTTAAATAAAAAGATAACAATCAAAAACGAAGAGAACGTATACACACTTGCACTAGACTGGCGTCTTAATTTATTCAGAACAGTTCCCTGCTCTCTTTCCAATAGTAAATTCACATCTCCTACAGCGATTGCATATGGAATCTCCCTTTCATGCAACATGCCCGCGACTTGAGCCGCTCTGGGCCCTTCCACCATCACATCCATAGTGCTATGCTCTTCTTTCCAAATGTTAATTGCTAAAATAGTACTTATTTTCATGAATAACAACACTACTTGTACCCGATAATAATAATGTTTATTTCAGAAAAAACGTGCAGAGATGACGAGATTAAATATGTTTTTGAAATTACAGTTCTTATGACGCTATAAGCGAGGCTTTCCGAACAAGTATTGTGAGAAACTTTGTCATTTTTAATTATATAAATATTTTTTTAAAGAACCATCTCGTCTGGTTTCACTCTTGAAATATATTGTACGCCTACCTCCTGCTGTGTCTAATGTTTTCATAAACAATCTCTGTCCCTCATTCGTAAATCTTATTTCCCAGACTTGGGTCTTGGAGTTGAGTAGTGCCACTGTGATTTTTGTTGAAACTGTCGTATTTAATAGTCTTTTTATGAAGTTTTTAATATACTTGCAATTTTGAAAATGATTTGTTGTTTGTTCTGACTGCAATTTGACGATGACAGGTTTACTTTATTCTTCATAACTTATTAAAACCTTTTTTTTAATTTGTAATTCGAGTTGGCATTGTCAGTTGCGTTGGTCGGTTTTGTCATTCAAGTAGTTAATAAAAAAATCTTTATAACCTCAATCCATAAAAAAAACAAAAAATAACCTCAATTATATTAATGGATGAGAGCAGCGTTGGCCAAGTGGCTCAGCGTGTGAGTCTCATAACTGAGGTCGTAGGTTCGATCTCCGGCTGTGCGCCACTGGACTTTCTCTCTATGAACGCATTTAACATTTGCTCGAACGGTGAAGGAAAACATCGTGAGGAAACCGATGTCTTAGACCCAAAAAGTCGACGGCGTATGTCAGGCACTGGAGGCTGATCACCTACTTGCCTATTAGGATTAAAAATGATCATAAACAGATTCAGAAATCTGAGGCCAAGACCTAAAGGGGTTGTAGCGCCACTGATTTTTTTAAAAATAAAATCACTACAGATTAAAATTTTTGAAGGCAATCAAAGAACACTCGATCGCTTAAGTCTAATTCAATTTACCTGACCATTCTAATCTTAGCCATGAATTTTTCCATTCAATTTTCTTATACACATATATATATTTTTATATTAATGGATGATGGATATGATTTTCTCATCAATAATAATTGAAGCGGGTGGATTCTAATATTCATAATCGGTAGTTAGTGTTAAGTATGTCTCCCGTATTCATATATGCTTATATAGAATAAGATAATTAAGATCTTTAAGAAACAATATCGTTCGTGGCGACTACTTGTTATGTGTATTTTGCTAAATTAAATTGTCTATACTAAAACCATCAAATCAATTTTATAGAAACTTACTTTAATTTATGACAACGTTTGTGTCCTGTTATAAGAAAGGACCATCATTTTGATTCGTCACCCGTTCCTTCTCATCAATAAACTCCATCAACGCCATCACAGAATTCAGTATTTCATTTCCCGTCTCCTGTATCTCTTCTTTGGGTAGCTTGAACTTATGTTTCTTACTTCGCAGCTCTATGAGATAGCAGTAAGGGATTCCAGCTGCTCCGTAGCTCCAATCATTACTAGTACCAGCCGCACCATACATAACATCCCTTGATATACCTACTTTGTAGGTGTTCCCATTGGTTTCGTAAATCGTCTGTGTAAATTTTAGGCGAAATTAAATGTAACAGTCATAAGTTTGATAAATGAATTGACAGATTGGTGAATAAGATAGCAAACTCAAACGAAACTATTTTTGAAATGAAAAAGAACAAATTAGTCCCTAAAAGAATATCTACCCGGATAACGCACCCACGATATCAAAATTTGCCACGACAACAAAAATCTAATGCCGGCCATACACACTACGGTCTACCGGAGAGGTCCACCTGTGCAGGTATGCCTGCGCAGGTAGACCGGAATGTGTGTGGGAATAGACCTGTGCAGGTTTTTGAACCGGCGCAAGATCGAAAATCGATTCTTTCGAGTGACACCGTACGGTGTACCTGTGTACGCTCCGATACACCGGAACGTCCCCATACACGCTACCATTGTTCGGTTGACCTGCGCAGGCATACCTGCACAGATTACCTCTCCGGTAGACCGTAGTGTGTATGGCCGGCATAAGCGAAAAGACTAAATATAAAATCTTTACTAAAAGCAGTTTTAAAGACAGAATTTCGTTTTGTTTTTTTACCTTAGACATTACAGCAGCCCCCTCGAGTAATCTAACATAGTCCGGGCATAGCTCATCTCTAAACGCAAAAGGGAACAGAATAATTTGTCCATAACTATGTAATGTTATGTAGACTTTGAAGGAAATACCACTTTTCGACAGAAAATCCTGAAAATATAAAATTACGATTTTAAACAAATGTTTGAAGGAATGTTTTGTTTCTGGCATTTATCCGATATTTAAATCTCGATCTTCATAGCATATTTCAAACATAGCCAGAGTAAATAAGTATTATTTATCCCGTAACCTCTCAATGCGTCTGTTTCATGATTCTTTATAACCAAAAAGGTGTTAGGCCATCGGTGTCTGACATGCACTTTAATTAAAAAAACTGGCATTTTTCATCATTACACGTCATGTTTTTTTTTCATCAACGAGCGAGGCTCAAACAAACCATAGAGTCGTTTTACTAAGATTACTGATTACTCAATTAGCTTAGTATATTTTCCGAATTAACGGATTGAAAATAATAAAACGCGTACATTAAACGCGTACCTAGTACATTAATTAAATGCAACAGACTGATATAAAACCAATGCAGTGAAATTGATTTACGACTAAATCCTGTTTGCAGTTTAATCTCGGCGTCCAGTACCGATGACACGATTTTGGTATCAACATCACATTACAGCCAAATGATACATTTACCTACCCTACTTTATTACAATTTACAGTTTAGCGATTATGTAATGAGTTTTAAACGAGTGTTTAACATCGCAACATATGGCACAAGTATACGACTCAGTTACAAAAAAAATTGATTCAAAAATGTCATATTTTTTATAGAAAATTTAATATTACACTATTATGCAAATAAATTATAGAGATAGAACTTAGAAGTGATAGTAAGAAAAAAATTGGCTTAAGTTGACATTGATAGTGTACGATTATATAATATGTACCTTGGGTGACGTAGCTAAATCTATAGGCAACTTATACTATTAAATTTCTTTAAAGTAGCAATTTTTTATGAATATATTGTACCCTCATAGCTGATGACTCTGGTTCCGAGAAAGGCTCCGGTCCGCGATAAAAAGCATGTGTTGGATTATCCGAAGAACCGCTACCACCCCAGCCGTAACTTAAACAGAAATTCATACACCGAAAGCAATATTTAATCATATGGAAATGTGTAATGTATATGCAATGTTACCAGCTCAAACAAATGAATACATACCTAAAGTTTCTGTTCAAATCCACACCCAAGCATTGACCCCCATGCCAAGCTCTATTTTTTCTCCACATCCGATTAACTGTGTGCGAATATTCATAACCATCAGGATTGACCACTGGAAGAAAGTACCTGAAAAGGAACTAATATAATAAATTAAACCGAGATTCTTTCATAACTTTTTTACGATTTGATATCGACATATTTATTAAGACAAATTATGGTCATATAATTTTTTAAACTTCGCTTATTATGCTGTAAATCATAGCTTATACTTCCGAAATTAAAGTCTATTTAATAGAAGCGAATATAATTAGTAATTACTTTTATTAAGTTACTTGGTGTTGGTTAAATAAACCTATTAATACTATAAATCACCAAAAACAACGATCGAGTTTCAGTCCGTGAGGTATAACATTTTAACAAAAACAATAAATTAGATTAGAAGAATTCAATTGATTTATGGAAATGAATTATTCAATTTAATAAAATATACTACATTACTTATTCTACCAAATTATAACTATGTTGACTATCAATCCGTTATGCTTACTATAAAGCCCAAAACGTAGGGACAATTTTAAATGGAAAATAAATTATTGTACACCCGTGATATTTAAACTGGTTGTCGATATTTCTATTTGTTGTTTATCCTTTAACAAAAACTAACCAATCCTTATTGGTAAGATATCCTGGCAATGTATTAAAGTTTTTAGCGATATGATTGGCGATGTACGTGTTTACTGCAGGTGCTATCCACTCCCTGGCATGTATTCCAGCATCCATCCATACTGCAGCATTACTAGCAACACTGTTCGAGATCTTAAGGATCTAAAAAGAAAACAAATAATCTATGTTTTAGGTTTCTTCACGAAATTTACCAACAGCCAAGATTTAAATATGGAGCAGTGATGGCCTAGTGGCTTTTGCGTGCGACTCTCATTTTTGAGATCGTAGATTCGATCCCCGCACCAATGAATCTTCTGTTTATGTGGGAATTTAACACTCGCTCGTCTGGTAAATATCGTGAGGAAAATGGTATTCCTTTGACCTTAGCGCTTTAGACTCAAGCACAGAAATATCAGCCTACTGGCTTGTTAGAAAAAACCAAATGCTCTCGAAACAGATACAGAAATCTGTGGCCAACCTCTCGGACCTAAAAGGTCACTCGTAAAACAACTCCAAAGGTCCAACGTTGTCTGGTCTACAACATGTCGTTAGTATATTATTTCCCTTTTGAATTACCGTACGGGCAAATGCTCATTGTGCATATTTATAATCTACTAGCTGGCCTGGCGAACATCGTACCGTCTAACGGTCGATTCTTTATTTTTTTTTAAAATACTTATTCTGCTATTCGGGACACCTGTCTAGCTAGTAAGATAAAAAAAGAAAGTTGATAAGACAACAAATACATTATGTCAAAAAATAAAAATTTACTTTCCCGGAACCCCTCCACTAACACTTGAGCTTAATGATATGGTATTAAAGTTCAAATTGACTTTTAAGTATTATTACGAATATTTTGTATGGGAATATAGAAAAGTGTTGTTTTTAGACATTTTCACTCAATTTTTTTAAATTTTTCTCTCCGTAAGAACCATCCTCGTACTTCATGGAATATTATAAAAAAAAGAATCAGACAAATCGGTCAAGCCGTTTTCATGTTATATCGTGACAACGGAAAACAGGTTTCATTTTTATATCTATAGATTGGCAGGGCCAGGATTTGATCGCACGACTTCAGAATACGTGTAACCACTAGGATATCGTTTATTAAAATTTTATATATACCTTTAAATCTCTTCCTTCGAGAGAGGCTCCTATGATACCCACTGTGCATATAGATGGGTAACTATATTCCAATTCGTCCATAAAATTATGTATCACGTTTAGACGATGGTAGTTCTCCCAGTCCATACGCTGTATGGGCTTTTCGTTTGAATCTAAAAACGTACACGACATTAAGTTTTTAATGACCTTGATAAGAATATATAGTTGTGTTAAAGTACATAGTTAATATAGGGATGATGTGGTTTGGATTATATAGGACTAGGGATGATCTGTTATAATATACCCTATGTTTCATGATCATTTGTCAATCTAATAGGTAAGGCTAAACGACTTTTTGGGTCTAAGGCAAGCAGGTTTTCTCACGATGTTTACCTTCACCATTCGAGCGAATGTTAAATGCTCACATAGAAAGAAAGAAAGCACTGGCGGGGTTCGAACCTACGACCGCAGGGACCACTAGCCCAACACTGCCAAACAATATACCCAACAAGCAAGTGTAGAAGTCATACCTACCATGTTTTCTAATTATTTCATCCGATTTTAAAACAGGTTTCGACAACTTTTCATGGATCGATCGATTATGAAGTTCTTTCTTATGTGGTTTGTTTGGTGGCTTTGTATCATCAAAGCTTTCTTCACTTACATCGCTTGCGTATAAATCGGATTCAGAATCATTCAGAAAATAGTATTTTGAGAATTGTCGTTTTGAAAATCGCGGTTTTGATGGCGTATCGAAGTGATATATATCGGAATTGCTCTGCATTTTTATGGTTTATATTGTGTTCTGTTTTGTCATTTTAGGAGTCTAGTAAAGAATAAACTATTGTTAATAATATCCATTTTTGTTGCCTACATCTTTTATTGAAACTATTTTTGTGTTTATTGTGTTGAGGCCGTGTCAGAGAAAATGTCAAATGTCGTAAAAAATCAAATACGTAGACAAAATAGAACAAAAGCGAAACCTTCTTGGGACTTCATTAGTTAACAAGCCAGAACTTGGCAAGAAGCGTCTTTGAAATTGTATCTTCAAATTTTTAGTCGACGCGAACTTTGTATTCCAACTTGAGAACAATGAGATAAAACGAAAACTTTATTAATAAATCTCTTAGAATAGGCGAGCAAATAGTTTTTCGTATTAAATACTAAGCCAGCGGGTGACATAGGGCCGTAAGCAGCTTCTAATGAAAAACAAAGCAGGGAGACCCCCCATCTCCCACAATGGTATACCTACATTTAGCGACTAATTGCCGATCCCAGCAATTTATTTTTCTACACCGTTTAAATTTGAACTCTATATCAAAGGAATAGAGGCGAATTGCTGGCCACCCGTTTAATCAAGCATACCAAAACCTCGATGGTTGTACTAAGGTTACTAGGAACGTAAATTAGACTTTTGTGTACTTCATTAATTTGCATAGTAAACGTTAATGTTGTGTTTGCTGTTTTTTATGTAAAAATTTCAAAGCAAAACGTGCTAAGTAAAGATCTAACATAATTTAACGTGGATGACGGGACTCGAAAGTAAAATTAGTCTATTTGAAGAAGCTTATAGCTATTATACATAGGTTATTGCAAAGACAACAGTTTAAACGATTTGAAGTATTTTATATTCCATAATACTAATTAATTATCTAAGTACTTTATACTTAGACGCCTCTTTTTGAATTGTATACTATTGTAGTTAAAAATAGAATAATTTTTAATATACCTTGTGTACTTAAAACAGAACAATGAACTTTATTTACTAATGACTGCTTCATTAAATCTGTAAAGAAGTAACGACAGTATTTTTTTTTTAAACGAACACATACAATTTAGCTAGAGTAGGTTAGCCGATAATCCTACAAAATAGATTCCATACTGTTTACAGTGTAAAGTATATAAAAAGGTACCGATAAATCCAACAAGCGGGTAACAAGCGTCGCAAGGGGAGACGCAATTAAAAAGATAAACGCCTGTAAGACAGCGTCGAGGCGACATTTGGGTGGCGGGTGATGTTTGGGGTCGCTGTCTGGTTAGCGGCCTGCCGCGGCTTACTACGGGTTCTCACATTACTCGATCCTGTGATATGAATTTATGTCTTGACGATTATGCCTCATGAATCATACTCACGCCTGGACACCAGTCGATAGTTTTAATGAATTTGAATACTACTTATCGGGACTACTTGTCTGCTCTGATGTACGTATTATCTCAGAGCCATAAATGTAACAGTAAACCATGCAGAAATAATGGTTTTGTCTTGCTAATATTATTTAATTTAACCTTAATAAAAAAATTACATTCGATCGAAATATTAAGAAATGAAATGATTCAGCGGCTGACGTTCGGAAACAATTAAGCGTTCCTGTGTTAGTGATGATACATAAATATTAAACATATTTCATGACAGTTACAATTATTTTAAAGCAGCTAACTGTTACAACAATAGCATTAATTAATATTGATAAATATTAACAGTAACATTTTAAACAATTTATTTCAATATTATTTCCATTAATTATAAAGAAAAAAACTTCTCGTCGTAATCGAATCGAGAATAAATGATAATGTATTTCATTAAGCGACTGCATCGCGAACTTGGGCATCTGGAAAGGTGTGTACAGATCATATATTTAATTACAAATGATACCTATTTATTGTATAGATTTTTTATATCACCGAGGCTTTAAGTAAAATAACTACAAATTGTACTAGAGTGCTGTCCTCAAAAATCTGGAACTACTTTCGATTCGTATCTGATTTTTTTCTGGTTTATTACTGAATGTGTCAGATATCATTTATATGCAGTCCCGTGATTTCTTAATTCAATTACGGAATTAAGAATATGAATGTAGAAAGTAATTCCAACTACTTAACGCTTAAAGTTAAGCAATACTCCCTGTATTGCTTTATTTTCATTAATTAATTGCGTAACAGCATGTGATGGGCTTAGCTGTATAATAGAAACGTTCTAGCTTTATCCTATTATTAAACCTGAATATTTCGTTTCAGAGTTTTGACCTTTGACTGACTAAAAGCTTTAAATAGTAAGTTGTTCATGAGAGTATATAAAAAAACGTCATGGTGCCATTTATAATCCGCAGCACTCGAGGTTCTGTTACCCAAGAAGTTTCTACTTATAGCATAGACAAAATGTATTTGACAATTTTGATATTTTTCTCCGGTCAAGATTGCGTCAAACCATGTCAAAATTTAGATGAATCACATTTTGTTATATTTAAAAATTTTAGTAAAATTCAGCCAAAGTGGCACTTAAAAGTGGACGGTACCAAACATGGGATGTAAAATGTGTAAAAGAAGGGCAAAGAACATTCCTAAAGAGCCTAGATACAAAAGGCTGTAAGTATAATAAACTCTTATAAGCAACTATTCGTCGTAACTTAACATGTTCCTTGTATTGGATGAATTAGTTTAGGATATACTAGATTCTAGATTCTCGTAAACTCATTAAAATCTACTCTCCTATCCTCATGTCTACTACTTACAGTCCTAGCTATTAATGGTCTGTTACAAAAACTGGAACTATAAGAACTCGGAACTTAAATAAGGCGTTTGATGTTAACAATACTTCAAAACTTTTTCAGCTATGCTTTTAATACATAGTGACATCATCGTAAAAGCCTTTTCCCCTAAGCACTGTTCTCTCTGCACCACAACGTAAAGACAATTTGACAGATACGAAAGTTTAGTTTTAACCAGTGTAAATAACTTATTTAGTTTTTAATTTAATAAGTAACTATAAAATATTTGCAGCTATATTTATTTGCAAGCAGAAAAAGAGTGCTTTAGACATCATGGTCGAAGCAAATAGGGTTATGCAAGTGGAAAAGCTATTACGTGATAGAAATATCATATTCGATGTTACCTCGACTGATACAGTTGTTAGACCGAACAGTCCAAATAACATGTCGTTATCAAGACAATCGAAATCACCTCAAAATCCTTTTCAAAGTAGGTAAAATTTCTGAGCTCCTATAAGGTTAGGGCTGGCAGTAGGAAAACTTTGTTACTTTTTGGTAAATATTCTATGAAAGAAAATATTAGGCAAGTCATTAATTAATGGGTTCGTGGTATATAGATTTGCTTTGATTTGAAAATGGAAATGATGCCTATTTTCTCTGGGACTTTTGTTTTAAAGCATTAACTAAAAATGTTTGCATTTGTATTATTGATTGAGTTTACTTTTAACTTATTTAAAATGTATTAGAAATAATTAACTGGTATCTATATAAATAAAAATGAACCGTCGCTAAGCGCAAAATTCGAGTAAATTATATTTTTATTTATGTATTTATATTTCTACCGTAAGCTAAGTAAAAAAATATATGAAGGCGCAGTAAAGACAAAGTACACTTTGCGGGGGCTAGTTTCAAATAAATAGTGTGGTATACATAAATTATGATGAAAAAAGGTTTATTTTATAAAAACATTAGATTTGTCGAGCCTCATTATATTTATTCCCGAAACAAGCCTTTTAATAATCTATTTCAGAGCGTACTTTGGACTGGAAAGATTATTATCCTCTTAACGTTGTGTATAATTTTTTGGAGAATTTGGAAGTTCAATATCCATCTACCTGCACCGTTACTAGCATCGGACGTTCTGTTGAAGGGAGGGATATAAAAGTTAGTATTGCACGTAAATTATTCGTTAAATAAATTATGAAAGAAAAGATTTTAAATTGTTTATAGATGTTAAAAATTTCAAACAGTGACGCTACCAACACAGGAGTGTGGTTGGACGGTACGATACATGCGCGGGAATGGATCAGTACGTCTGTTGTGACCTATATCGCGGATCACATAGCAAAAAACTTTAATAATCTACCGAAGAGTATAACAAATAAAGACTGGTAAGGTCATATATATTATTACGAAGAATTTGGAAGCAGTTCTAGACATCCAACGACATGTTTTATTGCAGCCAGTTGAGATTTAACAAAGTGAGCGCTTGAAATTGCGATTTTTCTTTGTTTTGATAATCGTAATTTATTTATTTATTACCTCAGTAAAAGCACTGAAATAATTATGAATGTTGTTTATTTAAGGTTTATAGTTCCTGTCGTGAACCCAGACGGCTATTATCACTCGCACTTACACGACAGGATGTGGCGGAAGAACAGAGCTCGGGTGGATAACACAATTGTTGGAGTAGACTTGAACAGGAATTTTGGGTGAGAAACAGTGTTTCACCGATAATGAGTGAAAGAAATATTTCCAGATTTCGCATTTTTGTCACCTTTTTGAATTTAAAACTTACTTTTTGCTTGCGTAAGATTTGATATCATTAACAAACTGGGTCATTATATCTAATACGATTGATTCGTGGGATGAACTAGAAAAACAAGGCACGAAAAAATACACAATTAATTAAATAATTACGTAAATATTTTTAATAATTTGTGACTTCTCTTAATAAAATTTGTTAGTTATTACATGCACTCTTATGATTAGATATAATTGGGGGCGTAGTGGATCTGAATGCTCTTCAGGAGATCCGTATCACCAAAATTTCCGTGGTATCGAGCCATTCTCCGAGCCTGAATCAGCTGCCGTTAAGGTAATGTGAAAATAGGTCATTCAAAATCATCTTTAATCTGGCAATAGATGGCATTTATATTTCTTTTGATAATATTGGTAGTCGTTAACTTATGTCGTGTACTAATTCTTCTCTCACTTATTTTGGTTTTCAGAATTTAATACTGTATTCGACTACTCCGTTCAAGATATTCATCACATTTCATGCGTATAGCGAGTTGATTTCCTTTCCTTGGTGTTTCACCAATGAACCTTGTGCCGATTATGTGAAGCTGTTGGAGGGAGGCACGGCGATGGCTAAGGTATGATTTGTAATAATTCTATATTCAAATTTTCCTATTGCCATCTCATTGTAGGGACATCTTCCATACGCACATCCAGATGGATGTTCGAACATATCAATCAATATATTATGTTACCTGAAAGTGAAGATCCCTTGCACTGTTTAAATATGTTTTAATTGGTTTGTTTTGTTCCATTATTTTTGTCTAAGTAATTTGATATCTTATGTAGTTTTGTACTTGCGCTCGCCTTACCTAATTTAATATTCCTTTCTCACAGGTTGGTGGCAGGCGGTTGCCTGGTCTCTAGAAAGCGATAAGGCCGCCAGTTGACCTCCTTTTTATTTATTTATTTTATTTGTACTGTATTCCTGAATCACTGCAACGAAGTGTAAATAAATAAATGATGATCCAGCATCTGACAATGCTGAGAGCCAATTTGTTTATTATCCAAAAGCTAATTTTGAATTTTTATTGTAGGCAATGTATGAAACAAACGGTCGTATGTATAAAGTTGGAAATTTCAAAGATCTCATGTACTTGGCTGCTGGAACTAGTGTTGATTGGAGCTATGGCACCGCACACATACCGTTCTCTTATCTCGTCGAACTGCGAAGTAAGGAGTTCAAATTTCTCCTACCAAAAGAAGAGATCCAAGACTGTTGCCAAGAAGTCCTTAATGGCGTGTTGGCTTTAGCAAATTTTGTGGACCAGAAAAAGTGTATAAATTGTACAATGTTTTCGAGAAAAAAAGCGTAAATTGAATGTAGCTGTTTTTTAGTATCTGTTACTTTATTGAAATAAAATATTTTATCTATACCACGTTTTATTATCAAAACACTTTTAACATAATTCAACGTAATAAAAACAACACAACTATTATAAGTTACACAAAGTTACCAATATTTTTAATTTTAAAGATTTTTAAGGTTTTATTATTTTTTTGATTTAAATTTAAATTTGGTGTTATCTATGAAATCCATTAAACTGGTTACAGCGTGTGAGATTTCTATACACGTTTCACTAATTTGGTCCTTCGGGAGCCGGAATCTATATTTTTTGCTACGTAGCTCAATCATGAAGGAATATGGTATTTTTGCTATAGCATAACTCCAGTCTGTGCTTGTACCGCATGCAAAGTAGGTAAGGTCCTTCGTGCTTCCAACCTTGTAGATCATACCAGTACATTCATATATTGCCTGCAAATAAGTTATTTTATAACGTTCCAGCGAATGTTGAATGCGCACATATACAGAAAGTCTATTGGTAAACGGCCGTGGATGACAACATAGTTATTATTTAGAATTATTAAATATATCAACCTAACGTAATTACGGCCTACGGGTAGCTTTTTTGAACTATAACTATTACATAGCTCGCGCGACGGCTCGTTTCTCTCAGCCTAAATAGAATGAACATTTACAAGTTTTTCGAATGAATTTCTGATCAATGATAAAATTTATGAAGCTGATTTATTATTTATAAGACATTCTTGAACTAATTGAGACTTTTTTCCTTTTAAATATTTTTCTATTACTACAAGTCCCATGCAAACAAGATGTACTAACTAATCTACTATTTTCTTACGCGAATACCCTTGCCATGACCGTGCCGGCCTCCATTAAGTGTAAGTAGTCAGGACACGGCTCACATTTGTATCCCCAAGGGAAAATTATCAGTTCAAAGTAACTGTGGAACGACAGGAATACTTTGAATGGCGACGCTGACCCGAGGATCGTGTCCTGAAAATTCAAATAGTTCGATAGCGAGGGGTCATATGTTCATATATGTTTAAATATATACTTAGAAATATATAATAGATCATGCACTAAAGGAAATGTGAAAAAAAAACAGTGATGCTTCAATCTTTTCTTTCTGTTTCGTGATCATTTGGTTTTTCTAATAGGCAAGTAGGTGATTAGCCGATTTCCTTACGATGTTTACCTTCGCTGTACGAACGAGTGTTAAATGCGCACATAGACAGAAAGTCCATTGGTGTATAGCCGAGGGACGAAGCCAAATACAATCGACACTGCTAAAAGAAATGAAGCTTACTCTTTTTTTAAGCTTAAGACTTCGGAGGCAGTTGGGTCCATCTTGATTATTAAACCATTGACCCAAATTATTATAATTCTTACCCGTACTGCTGCTGTCTCCGGTTCAGAAAACGGCGCAGGACCTCTATAGAACACGTTAGTTGGCTCTCCTGACGAACCTTGGTCGCCATTATTGCCCCACCCATAGCTATTTTACCGTAGGAAAAAATAAAATAAATAAGTGTATAAAGCAATTGTATGATATTTGATAAAGGTTTGCAATACAACTTATATTTTAAAAAAATAACATTTTACCTAAAATTCCTATTAAGATCGACTCCCACGCGCTCTCCCTCGTGATGCGCTCTATTCTTTCTCCACATACGATCTTTAGTATGTGAGAACACATAGCCATCTGGATTTAATACCGGTACAATGTGCCTGTAAAATATGTGTATTATATTTTTCGGATATTAACAAATCGAAAAATGACGTAGGTATCACTATAATATAATAACTAAACGACAAACCGAAAAGGTCTAAATGCATGAAAATAATATTATAACTGTGTAGATGACGTATCTATTGTCCAAACCAGATTCTGAGCATTAATCATCAGTTTATTATTTATTTTCAACAGCACACCAATACACTGGTACTTAAGAAAAATAAAATACAAAATTTAATGTGACACGCACTTATAGGCAAGCATAACTGAAGAGCACCCGAAGTAAAAAAAAACTACATGGATTCATAAATTATAGAAAAATAGGGAAAATTGATTTCAAAGCAAGGTGGTGGTGAGGGGAGCAACTATGTATATCCAGAGAAAACGCTTTCTTCTGAAAGAGGGTGCAAATGGAATACCTAGATGCCTGGAGTAACTAGAGGATACAGTAAATTGAAATCAGATATTATACTCAAAGATAGTATGGGTCCACTAATAATCAGTAACTGGTGACAGCAACTTAAAGCTGAGTTATAGGGCCCATGTGTGTGTGCTTTAAATTTCTTATTTTTTTTCTTAATTTTTGAAAAAATTACCGAATGACTTAAATATAATACAATTTATTTGGATTTGGTTATCATTACGTTAATTAAAATTGAAGTAATACAAAATCTTAAGACTGGCTTCTTTGTACGCACCAGTCTTTATTAGTAATCGAATTGGGGTGTTTCTGAAAATTCTTAGCGATGAATTCAGCTAAGTAGGTAACAACAGCTGTGCTGATCCATTCTCTTGAATGTATTGATGCATCTAACCAGACAGCAGCGTTACTGGCGTCACTGTTCGATATTTTTAACATCTGAAAAACATACATAACAAAAATTATTTATATTAATAAGCATTTTTCTTGCGAATCACAGATTTCAGCGATTTACAAGTCAGTAGGTCTGGTTTCCTTACGATTATCTCCTTATAATGGCGTGAAAAATAAAAAACTTGCTTGGTGGAGCTGGGGTTCGAAACCACGACCTCATGGCCATAGTCATCTAGCCACTAAACACATACATTTATATAATATATTTAGATGGGTAAACGGAGAAGCGAAATTGTTTGTAGCTTGTGACAATAACTCAAATAAAAACGATGTAACCACGGTCTACCTTTGGCTTTTTAAGTTATTGAGTATATTCCATAATTTCGTGGGGCATAAATATATATCAAAATGCTAGCTCAATGGTCACAGGCCGCCATTCTTTTACAGACGATATTGTGTCCACTCGCTGTTGATAATAATCTTAGCAGTCATATTTTTGGGTATGTATTGGAGCAATGAAGACTACGGCTAAGATGCATTTGCTATTACAAGAATAACATAATATGCCTAGTAGCAAACTCTTTTGAAGTTTTTAATACAGAAAGTGAGTGTTTTTAATTAGTCTGATATCTAAAAGGACTGTTGAAAAAAGTTCATAATAAACCTTAATATCTCTTCCTTCAACCGATTTTCCAATTACAGACACTGTACATATCGCCGGATAGTCTCTCTCAAGTTCGTCCAGAAAAGAATAAATTACATTTAACTTATGATATCTTTTCCAGTTCATTAATTTAACTGAAAATAAATATAATTAATAATCAAAATTGTAATTAAAATTTTACTTTCCCAATTTGATTGTTTTAGATTTTTTTTTGTAATAATTTCTGCGGCTTTATACGAATCGAAAGTTAATTAAAATACTTATGTATGTACGTTATTTAAAAAGCACACATAGCCAGCAATCATAACTCATCTTTAAATTAAATAAAACGCTAATTGACAGCATCTTTAAAATTATTTATTAATGACAATAGAACCTCGTTAAATTGTTATTTTTTATTTCCTTAAAGTATTGGCTCAGTTGGCTTAAAAATTCATATTAAGCACTCATAATTTAAGAAACTTTTTTTTATATAAAAAAACCTGCCAAAATTTTCTCATAGTAGATGGCGTCACACCCAATCCATATAACGTAGAATGCTTGTAAACACGTTAACAAACGTCAATCGAATGATTTTAGTACGTTAATTGTCATTCAGACACTACGATTTACGAGCAGCCTTGCGATTCTGTAACTCACTTTTCGAAATCGCACAGCGGTTTTCGCAGTGGCGGTCGCGCTCAAATCAGTCATGAAGCAGTCATTTTACGATTTGGCATTCTGATAAACAATAAACTACAAGCTCCCTCCTTAAAAGTGAGTTACAGAATCGCAGGGCAGATAAGTCATCGTCTATTTGAATAATTAATGATTATTTACAAGATAGTATGCTTTTTAAAGCCATATTTTAAAGAAATTACTCTCAATAACACTCCATTATTCATACAGTCAAATAGCCTATTAATGTGTGATAATGATACTAGCTCAAAATATAATATATACCTCGTCTTCTTTTCGGTTTGTTAGTCGGTATTATTTGTTTCAAACCGCTGCTGATAGACGCTTTCATTATACTATTGGATGATAGTTTTCCTATAAAATGTTGTAAATAAAATAAACAACTACATAAAGTATATAAAAATTATGTATCGTTCTAGTTCTGGAACATGCTGTAAAGGTACCTTATGCATTAATTATAATATATTATCGGGGGCATTTTTTGTTGACCCATGTTTGTTACCATGGTTACAAGGTATTTCCAAAAGGGACTACTACACGTGATGCTGAGCCTCTACTCAACCTCGCCTTTTGATTTTACTCTTAGCCAAGCCACGTCGTCAAATACCCGGGTCATCGTGTAACACAAAAGACGAACATTTCCGACTGGTCATCTGATTCAATCGTTAACAGAACTGCGATACAATCTATATTTCCGTACGACCGCACGTAGTCTGTCTGTATTAGAACCAATACCACGATTGCGGAAATCTAAGCTCTGCACTGGTACTCTGTAACTCCCAACATCAATAGCGACTGCTATCCTGAATGCTGTGTTAAGTTTTGTACCGCGCCATCCCTAGGCTAACCAGCCCAACGGATATTGAAAGGATTACATCGGAATTCCATAGAAACATGATGTTATCGCAATCACCATAAAATTCCAATTCTAATAGCAAATTATTCAATTTGTGTATTCAAATGTCACAAAAATCTAATTAACTATAAAGCCTAAACAACTGAACAGAGGCGGCAAATAAATAATATTTATGTACCTTTATTACTTAAACATTTTTGAGTCTGCGTTCCCGACTCCGATTTATATTTTTCTTCTTCTTCGTCGGAACCAAGCAGATCACTTTTGATTGATAAATACGCATCTCCCGAATATAACTCCATAATTTAGCTAAATTTAAACCATCTACTGATTCTACTTAAAATTCATTACTTCTACGGTACCTAAACAAAATTGATTTCATAAAAAATAATTAAAACTACATAAAATTTAGGTTACGAAAATATGTAATATCAAAACTGATTACAAATCTGTTATGCTCTAACAAACGTCAAATGTCATGACTATAGACAAACACATTTTTGTCCTTGTCATTACGGTTGAGGTGGAGGTATTAATTAAAATTAATAATTAGATTCAAGATTTAAAATTATTTTTTATCGTAATATATTTTTAATTAAATATTGTTACAATATCCTATTTATTGTACTAAACATTATTAGGTTATTTTTACTTGTTTTGCTTCGCGTATATATAAATGGAACAGGTTTAAACATGTCGACGCATATTATAGTTGATAAATCCTTTTAAATAAATTGACTAGTGAACTTTTGCCGTAGAATTGACGGAAATTGTGCAAGTGGAATTGTGAACAAATTTCGGTCCGGGATTAGAAAACCGCGGGCAGAAAACTGGTCATCAACATTCAACTACGCGTCGCGATTCGTTTGTAAAATGACTGGATTATTCTGGAAACATTCATCTATATAAGCATACATGTGTTACAGACAAAAAATGCTGCGTGTTAGAATCTGAGTTTATATTATGTATTCAAAGTGTCTTCCTCTTAAAAGCGACTGTAAGCAGTATTATGAGACACTTTATTATGTTAAATGTCATTTTTAAGAAATTAGGTTAGTTTTAAATTGCTAGTTTGTTATTACTCATATTTGTGTTGTCTATGCTGTCTTAAAACTAACAATCGAATTTCAACTTTTTTTTATTTTTCACCGATCAATCTCCATCGTCTCCATCTACACGACACTGCAATATTAGGCCCGAAAAGCCATTAAAAAAAAAATTGCTAGTCTGAAGTTAGACTAGATCGTAATGTTCTGTATATGGCGCACTTTGATGCAAATAAATTGCTTATAATATATATTTTTTTTTAAATTTTTATGTAAGTATTTATTTTTCCGCACTTCATCGCACATAATAGAAATTTACAAGTTATAAAACATTACATAGTGTATCTAGTGATCTAGGGCTACCTGATATAAGGAATCCTAAAAAAACTATCAATTTATATTTGAAGCCAAAATGGCTATTTCCATTTTACTGAGAATAGTGACGTAAAACTTTTATGTTCAACTTTGAACAGTCGGACGCAGTGACGCTAATTGTAGACAAACGGGATTGATTGAAACGGACATGCGATTTCTAACTTGTATAACTATAAGTTACTGCACTAAACAGTCAGTTTTATATCTATTTGGTCGCATAAATTCACTTTTCTATAGTTAAAGGTTTCGTAATTTACATTGTTCAATAACAATTGCAGAGAAGAAATATATAACATTTTTAAATTACATACTTAAATTACAGTACTAGTTTATTGTATTATTTCTTTTCTCTTTTATCATTTTAATGTTTGCCTTAAAATGTTCTGTACACTTGTCATTGATGCCCTTTCATGTATTGTGATTTTTGTATGTCCTGTGTTCTCTGTAAATGTCTGTATGTGTTTCCTTAGTGTGCCTTTAAAAATATAATAATTTGTTCTATAAAAAAATTGTCTGTGGTTATTTTCTTAATTTTCTTTTATCTGTGGCGTTGGCGCCAATACAGTAAACATTGGGTTAGTTAAGTTTAGAGCATTCTAAAATCAAAATCAAATTTAATTTAACAAAAGCTTTTCTCTTTAAAGTTTGGTGTATTCTAGAACAATCATGACGAACTGTGAATAAATTTTTTCTAACAGTTTGATATTAGTAGATGATAATTATTATTACATTGTTAAAAAAATATTTAGCGAGACTTAATATTCTAAACTTTATAACAGAACCGGTAACTATATAACTTATTTTTTTATAGAAAATGTATGTAGGTACATGCATAATACACAATAGAAGATAGTAATTGTAACGATATGAATTTTATAAGCTTACACTTAATATGTATAATACAAAATCTGTTTGCTAAAGAGCGAACCCTCACAATTCAACGTAAACAAAATGTATGAGAGTTGCTAATCTAGTTTGGAAGGCGAAGGATCGGAGTTCGATTACCGACGCGTATAATTAACACGATTACTTGGAAGATAGTGCAATGTCGGCACCCTCCCTAATTGAGATGTGGGGCGTCCGTATATTACAATATTATACTTAACAACTGTGTTCAAAGATTTTAAGGAGATTTATTTATTAATTTAGCTGATTGTTGGAATAGAAGAAACTATTTATTTATAATTCTATCAATGATAAGATTAAGTGTAACAAAAACATCGTAGCAATGGAAAGATTATAGTTCTAATACCGAGAAACTTCTGCTTGCAGCTTCCACTCACTAAAGAAATACAGAAGTGTACCACAGTTCGTATTCATAAAATAGAATGATGTCAATGTAGGTGCCGCAATCGCGCAAGGAGCACCACGCCTTTGAACGCAAAAGTCCGTACGTACAATAGGTATAAAAACAAAAATCTGTCTTAAACGTGATCTATGCTTAAATCACTTGACATTTGAAATATATGAAGTGGACACACATGAAAAGTCAATCAGGGTAATTGGGATATTCATCAGTGAAAGCCGTCGATAAAAGTTACCAGTTATAATAATTAAGATAGTAATGTGGGTTTAAGCAATCATTTTGAAGCTTAAACAATATTCGAACTTCCTTTCTCAATACCTATCCGTGGTCGACCCCGTTTTTAAATGTCGTAAATTCGATTTCCTCACTCATGTTTTTAATAATCGTTTAAAACTGTCAAGGGGATGTAATCTCCTCGATAGAAATTAGAATTGCCTTTAGGTGATTGGGGTATTTTTAAATGTAAACCTTGGATCGTGTAAACAAGGCTTTTGTTGGTTTCCATCGCCCGCGGGTTGCCAAAGAATAAAATTTTATTTAAGATGCTCTACACGAAGACAATATAAAACGATTTGCCAATATTGTCATATCTATAACTAGGTACTATTAACGCTTTTGGAAGTTAATTTATATCTGACATAAAAAAAAATAGTTATTAAATAAAATCGTTATGAATATATTAAATTTTCGATTTAAGCTGTAAAGCTGGTTTTACGAAGACTTAGTTTAATATTACAACTTTACATCAGCCTTGCGATTCTGTAACTCACACAGCGGTTTTCACAGCGGCGGTCAGTCATTTTACATAAGGAGGGACCTTGTAGTTTTTTTGTAAACAATAAACTACAAGGTCCCTCCTTATCAGAATGCCAAATCGTAAAATGACTGCTGTACGACTGGTTTGAGCGCGACCGCCGCTGTGAAAACCGCTGTGTCAGTTCGAAAAGTGAGTTACAGAATCACAAGGCAGAACTGATATTTATAAGGTTTTATTGCTGAAGAAGACTTTTTAGTTTATACCTATTACCTACCTATAATTGTTTCATTATTAGTTATTTATTTAACGTTACATAGTTGTTTTTATTACTTTAGGTTTATGTGTCTTTTACATATACGTATATGTTTATATGCTTTATTTGAATTGATGTTTGTCTTGCTTTCATTGTAAGTATAGAAATTGTATTTACAGTGAAAAAAACCTCTCTTCTCATCACAATTCATCATAATTAAAGGGCTGTATTAATATACTTATAAAACAATTCTCAAACGCCGGAACATTTCAAGACGCAACGAATTACTTGTATAAAAGTGTATCTGTTTAACGAATCTTTGAGCTATACGAAGGGAGATGGGTAGAATCAAAAAATTGTGCTTCCAATAAGGGACATCATTAATTCTCGCCGGTCGGGCGATGCCGGGGGATTGCCTGCATTACTCTAATAGCTTCTGAGAAAAATAACCGGTCGATATCCGGCAAAATGCTACTTTGTCGCGGATATTTATCTGCCTTGATTGGCTTAATCATCTTATATATTCATTTGCTATATTTATCCTTTTCTGGGGCTTTATATATCTTTATTACAATAAGTACAGATTAAGAGTAAGTAAGTAACCAATACGACTTAGGGTCCTTCAAGAAAAGAGCGTAGCAATTCTTGAAAGGCCGGCAACGCACTTGCGAGCCTTCTGGCATTGTGAGTGTCCATGGGTGGCGGTATCACTTAACATCAGGTGAGCCTCCTGCCCGTTTGCCTCCTATTACATAAAAAAAGCAAATCTAATATTTACTGTTTATAGTATTTATTAAAATAAAAAATGATATGGTCGTCAGATGTTTTAATCTTAAAACCTATAGCATGTATATAAACATTTTTATCGTGGGCCTAAACAATTAAAAAGGCCAAACAGTCTTAAAAGTTTGACCCCAGCGTCTTTCACATAATTATCCGAGGAAAACATCCTTGGATTTTTGCGGAGTTCGTTATACGGGAGCTCTCCCTAAGCAAAATTAATGATTCTCTTTATTGAAAGTTCAATTTTTTGATTAGGGACCCGCCCGTGTTCAAACACCGGATAACAGATATTTGCATACGGTCAATAATGATTACATGATGAAAAGATTTTTTTATTCTTGTGTTGGGTGATTGTACTTTTCATTAAACACAAATTAAATTATATAAGAATTAATATGGAGGTAAATTTTTACGCCGTCTTTCATCGGTGAATAATCTATTTACGAAATCAGAGTTCTCCAAGAATTTGCGCTTACCATGTATCTTATAAAGTCTATGTATTTACGTGGAAAGGAAAACAATCGGGCAGTGTTACAATGCCTGGTTATTGCGTTAGGAGGCGTCAGCGACATTAAAAACAGCAGTTTAACAGACGTTTTTAATTGTCCTTTGAGTGAACTGACAAAAGGTCTGCTTCATGTCAACTGTCAGAAATAGTCTGTTTAATGTTATGTTGTATTTATCTATGTACTAGCTGGCTTGGCGAACATCGTACCGCCTAACAGTCGATTCTTTATTTTTTTTTTAATACTTATTCTGCTATTCGGGACACCGGTCTAGCT